CATATAAGAGGAAATGAGGGGAAAGGGAAAAAAAACAAGGGGGAGAAATAAATTATAGTAGATGGGGTAGAGAGAGAAGATGGGAGGGGAGGGGAGGGGAGGGGGGATAGTAGAGGATAGGATAGGCAACAGAACACAACAGACACTAGTATGGCACTATGTAAAACAATGGATATGTAACTGATGTGATTCTGCAATCTGTATATGGGGTAAAAATGGGAGTTCATAACCCACTTGAATCAAATATATGAAATATGATATGTCAAGAACTATGTAATGTTTTGAACAACTAATAATAAAAATTAAACAAAAAGAACCTTAAAAAAAATAGGTAATTTTCCCCAGAACAAGCCAGGAAATGGCTGGGCATGACTTCAACCTATATGTTTCTCTTCCTAGGAAGTGAATGACTATTACTTCTATCTGAAATGGTGAGGTCAGTGGTTTTTCTTCCTAATGTCACTTAATGAAGTTCTATGTTATTTGAGCACTTAATGCGGGAGAATCTGGTGATTTCTCTGCCCCTTTTTATTTCTTGATGTATGCAATAACAGTTCTTATATAAGGTAAAGGAAGCATCTGCATAGTATGTAATTTTGAAAATACCACCACCAGATACACACACCCAAGTGAATGTTGTTCTTTCAAAACACTGGGTTGCCTTGGAGATTGGAGACTTATTCCAATGATGCTGTTGTCAGTCACTGCCTTTCTTCTGGTGCTGCTCTTTGGGAAGTACCTTCAAAGCTGGTCTTCAAACCATTCAAAGAAATTGAACTCATCATTTTATTGGCATTTGCTGTTGTTTTTTTTTTTTTGGTGGGGGGAGGCAGGGTTGGGATTTTTTTGGTGGTGCTGAAATTGAGCCTAGGGTCTTGTACATGCTAAGCAAGTGTTCTGCCTCATCTTTAGCCCTTTTTTATTTTATTTTGAGACAGAGGTCTCACTAAGTTGCCCACCCTGGCCTCAAACTTGTGATCCTCCTGCCCAAGAAGCTGGGATTATAGGAATGTGCCACTGTGCCCAGCAACACTTATTGTTTTAAACCCCAAATGATAACATCCAGCTTTTTCAGCTACGCTGTCCATCAGAGTTGACGATGAACAACTTGAGGTTGTTTCAAAAACTGAAGTCCATTCTCAGTGCGAAGGATTTGTCTCCTAAGAACATTCAGAAGGTTTGGAGGAGCTGGAGGTTTTCAGGTTGTCTCCTAAAAAGAAGTTCCAAAAGGTTGTGAGTCCAGAAATACCATTGATTAAGTGACATTTGGAGGGGACACATTCATTGAATTGGACAGGGCAACAAGTTGGTTAAACTAAATTGTTAGGGTAGTTAATAAGATATTGGTTTTGCACCTGGGCTCTGGAGCCAGACCAATTTGGTTGAGATTCTTCCTTTACTACTGACTAGCAACATGAACTTGCACAGTTTGGTAATCAGTGGTAAAGGAAGAATCTCAACCAAGTTGGTCTGGCTCTGGAGTCCAGGTGCAAAACCAATATCCTATCAACCATCTTAACACTTCATGCCTGTTTCTCTTTTGTAAAATAACATGATAATAGAATTTGTAAACCCTCCTAGATAGTGCAGGTGCAGACAAGTCCTGTTTCAAGAGCCATCTGGAGTGGTATTGTTTATGTGTTCTGTACTTTAATGTAAATGAATTTAAGTAGTTAAAATCACACATATCACTTTATAATATCAACTTGAAATATAAACATTATCAGGCAAGAACCATAACAAGGCAGGCACATTTCCTGTAAGTTGTCATCATCTATTGCTAGTGATAAAATGTTCTTATGTGTGGAAAGTAATTTTATATGATTGTTAATATCAAAATGAAATTTGCAAGTCTG